CATCAAGGTGACCGTCTATAGTTTGATCCTGTCATTTCTTCTGTTGCCATGTTGTCCTCTTAGTCCATCCATGGTGAGATAGAGAGACATCAGCCGCAGCTACAGGCAGTGGTGGACCTTGCAGAGGCCCTCAAAGCTGTCCTCAGGGGCAATGGAGGGTTGGTGGATGATAAAGTCAGCCTGCTGCACTGCAACTGGATTGCAGTCACATCAAGAGCAGAGGAATGGCTCAACCTGCTGCTGGTCAGAAGCACCACACCAACAATGTTGGAAACGTCAGTGTTCAGTGCACCAAGGAAGTCCTAACTTTCAGTGCTTTTGCTCTTCTTCACAGGACTACCAGCAGCAGATGCAGAAGTTGGATGAACAGATAAAGGAGGTGAATGGATGGATTGATGGAGCGGAGGTAAAGATGGATGAGATTGACACTCAGGGACCCGATGACTCAGTGCTGAAGGTGATGCACCACCTGCCTCTTCGGTAGAATCAGTTCCTCTAGTTTAGTGAAAGATCTTGGCCTCGTCTTCAGTTTAGGAGTGGGTTCTACGTCCCATTACCAGGGTGGTCCATGGCTCTTTACGGGCTCCTGGAACAAGCTAGAATAAACTCAAACCCTAGATGGAAAACACCTCCAGAACCGACTGGACTTCTAGATTTAGACACCAACCAGAACTTATGTTGGTGTGGGTGAGGAACCATTAGCATCTCGAGTCCAGGAATGTAAGTCATCCACTCACGTTGTCGCTGGAATAGATCTGGGTACCTGTGTAGGACAACTGTTGTCTCTGACCAGCAAGACCAACACCTCCAGGAACCTGGAGTAACTCCATCCTCTGTCCTTCAGGTGTTGCGTGCGGAGCTGGAGCTGACCAAAGGGAAGATGGAGGAGGTGAGGTCGTTGGCTCACGAGCTCATGTCCACTCGGGGAGAAAACTGCCAGGCCCAGGTGGGACCCAGAGTGGAGCAGCTCGACAGCAGATTTGATACCATTTCTCAGCGCATCACATCTGGACTGGTACTGACCCGCTCAGCGTTACCCAACCCAGCCAACACAATACAAAACCTAACTTTATTAGCTATGTCTGCGGCAGACGGCAGCATCCTCCCGGGAACTGGAGCAGTACCACAAAGAAGTTAAGGTCTGGCTGGAGCTGCTGGAGGAGGAGGCCAGAGAAGGAGAAAATCTGAAAGAGGAGGACTTCCAGGAGGATAAGGTGTCTCACAGTCCCACCAGGAGACAAAAAGATGCTTAGCTTTTTCTCTGTGTGCTCACAGTGTGTGTGTGCATGTGTGCGTGTGTCTGCGTGTGTGTGTCTTTGTTTGTGCGTGTGTGTGCGTGCGTGTGTGTGTGTGTGTGTGTAGAACTGTGAGGAAGGTGCAGTGAATGACTTATTGCTGAAAGGAGAGAACCTGCAGAAGAGAGCTCCGGGCCCCGATAAGAGAGAGCAGATCAAACTGAAGCACAACCAGCTGAACAGCAAGTACATCACAGTTAAGGTAAAGCTAACGTTCCACGGTCCCTGGCTGTTTTCAGGCTTCAGCATCTCACTGAAGATTATAGGGCTGGCTGAAAGTTCCTCCACCAGTACAAGGAGCTAATTCCTCCCATAACTAGTTAGCCGTAGTCTGGCACCAGCCCTACTAGTTCCTTCTGAATGTGGCAAGGTGGATAAACGAGGGCCCGGGCGGGATTCGATCCCCAGACTCCCGGGTGAGAGTCATACGCTCTAACCAGTCAGCCAAAGGGACATCCCCTAGGCCAAGTAGCCAGGGCGCATGATCAATCGGGACATTGTGACAGGACGCTCACACTGTCACATGAAGATAACATGAAACATCTGTGTTCTACTATTGAAATGCCTCAGTATGTACCAGTCATGGAAGATTTTAGCTGGATCCGAAAGTAAACAAAACCCTTGTATTATTTTATTCACTGTGCCAGCGGAAGGCTGTAAACCACAACGCTTGTTATTGGAGACCAAATTCTTATGAGGATATTTGACGTCATAACTATGAAGCTATCAAACGGCTCTGAAGCTAAAGATTAGAGCAGGACTGCCCAATCCTGGTCCTGGAGGGCCGGTATCCAGCAAGTTTTAGTGCTTTCTCTACTTCGGCACACCTGATTTCAATCAGCAGGTGATCAACAGGCTTCTGCAGAGCCTGTTGAGCTGCTACACAGGTGTGTTGGAGCAGAGAAAGCACTAAAACCTGCTGGATACCGGCCCTCCAGGACCAGGATTAGAGCAACTGAAACTAAGGAGTGTGTGGTTTCATCTCTGGCTAAACAAGATGCTAGGAGAAAGCTTTTATACTGAAATGTATACCGTGCAATTAGTGACTGAATATTTATTGAAAAAGTGATGGTAAATGTGCACATCTCCAGGTAGGTGTTGTTGAGGCTGTCCACACTGGTGATTGTTGGTGACTTTAACATCCAAATTGATGATTCCTCAGACCACTTTTCTATGAGCTTCTCCAGCCTCATGGACTCCTTCAGCTTTACCCAGCATGTTTCTGGCCCCACACACACCAGGGGGCACACTCTACACCTTGTTTTTACCCTGGGTCTAAATGCTGACGGTGTTTGTCCTGAGGACGTTTATATTTCAGATCACCATTTCATTTTATTTAACTTGTCAGTTTCTGCGTCCCCACCTCCTGCTTGCCATCTGATTAGTTTTTGTTTTCTTAATGAGAGCACAGCTAGCACATTTTCTGCTGTTTTGATCCACCCTGTTCTTCTGATAATGGCCCAGATTCCTTCTCAGTTTAAGGTGGCACTAAACAGATGCAGAATGTACCACGTGGCTGTTAGCAGCTGTTATAGTGGATGACTTCCTTTCCACCAACAGCACAGTGTATGTAATGTTGTGGACACGTGTAACCCTGACCCACTATCATCACCTTACAAGTCTGTGTTTTACGCTCCAAAACATGTCCAACTCTGCAGTTTAGATTACGCCAGACAGGAAGTCAAACATGGCGGTTAAAACGAAGAGTCGGAGTACCCGGCCCGGAGGGTTACCGGGGTCCCACCCTGGAGCCAGGCCTGGGGTTGGGGCCCGTGAGCGAGCGCCTGGTGGCCGGGCTTTCGCCCATGGGGCCCGGCCGGGCCCAGCCCGAACCGGATACATGGGCTCGTCCAACTGTGGACCCACCACCCGCAGGAGGAACATGAAGGGTCCGGTGCAATGCGAATCGGGTGGCAGACCAAGGCGGGAGCCTTGGCGGTCCAATCCCCGGACAAGAAAACTAGTTTTTGGGACATGGAACGTCACCTCGCTGGCGGGGAAGGAGCCGGAGCTTGTGGCAGAGGTTGAGCGGTACCGGCTAGATATAGTCGGACTCACCTCGACACATTGCATTGGCTCTGGAACCCGAGACCTGGAGAGGGGTTGGACACTCTACTTTGCTGGAGTTGCTCCGGGTGAGAGGCGGAGGGCTGGGGTTGGCTTTTTGTTAGCCCCGAGACTCTCTGCCTGTGTGTTGGGGTTTACCCCGGGGGACAAGAGGGTAGCTTCCTTGCGCCTTCGGGTCGGGGAACGGGTCCTGACTGTTGTTTGTGCTTATGGGCCAAATATCAGTTCAGAGTACCCACCCTTTTTGGAGTCCCTGGGACGAGTGCTAGATAGTGCTCCATCAGGGGACTCCATTGTCCTGCTGGGGGACTTCAATGCTCACGTGGGCAATGACAGCTTGACCTGGAGGGGTGTGATTGGGAGGAACAGCCCACCTAATCTGAACTCGAGCGGTGTTTTGTTATTGGACTTCTGTGCAAGCCGCAGTTTGGCCATAACGAACACCATGTTCGAACATAAGGATGCCCACCGGTACACTTGGTACCAGGGCAGCCTAGGTCACAGGTCGATGATAGATTTAGTAGTCGTATCATCTGACCTGCGGCCGTATGTTTTGGACACCCGAGTGAAGAGAGGGGCGGAGCTGTCAACTGATCACCACCTGGTGGTGAGTTGGATCAGATGGCAAGGAAACATGCCACGTAGACCTGTCAGACCCAAACGCATAGTGAGGGTCTGCTGGGAACGCCTGGCAGAAGAACCTGTCAAGACGGTCTTCAACTCCCACCTCCGGCAGAGCTTTGACCACGTCCCGAGAGCAGTGGGGGACATTGAGTCCGAGTGGGCCTTGTTCCACTCTGCGATTGTCGAGGCGGCTGTTGCTAGCTGTGGTCGTAAGGTGGCCGGTGCCAGTCGTGGTGGCAACCCCCGTACCCGCTGGTGGACACCAGAGGTTCGGGGAGCCGTCAGGCTGAAGAAGGAGGCCTACAGGGCGTGGCTGGTCTGTGGGTCTCCGGAGGCAGCAGACAGGTACCGGATAGCCAAGCGGGGTGCAGCAGTGGCAGTTGCCGAGGCAAAATCTCGGGCGTGGGAGGAGTTTGGTGAGGCCATGGAGAAAGACTATCGATCGGCTCCAAAGAGGTTCTGGCAAACTGTCCGGCGCCTCAGGAGAGGAAGGCAGCAACTCGCTCACACTGTTTACAGTGGGGATGGGGAGCTGCTGACGTCAACTGAGGCTATAGTCGGACGGTGGAAGGAATACTTTGAGGAGCTCCTCAATCCCACCAATGCGCATTCCGAGGAGGAACCAGAGCTGGGAGGCCTGGGGATGGACTGTCCGATCTCGGGGGCAGAAGTTGCTGAGGTAGTCAAACAACTACACAGCGGCGGAGCCCCGGGGGCGGATGAGGTTCGTCCTGGGTATCTCAAGGCTATGGATGTTGTAGGGCTGTCATGGTTGACACGTCTCTACAACATTGCGTGGTCATCGGGGGCAGTTCCTAGGGAGTGGCAGACCGGGGTGGTGGTCCCCATCTTTAAGAAGGGTGACCTGAGGGTGTGTTCCAACTATAGGGGGATCACACTCCTCAGCCTCCCTGGAAAGGTCTACTCCAAGGTACTGGAGAGGAGGGTCCTATCGATAGTTGAGTCTCAGATTGAGGAGGTGCAATGTGGTTTTCGTCCTGGCCGTGGAACTGTGGACCAGCTCTATACCCTTGCAAGGGTGATGGACGGGGCATGGGAGTTTGCCCAACCAATCCACATGTGTTTTGTGGATTTGAAGAAGGCTTATTACCATGTCCCCAGGGGCACCCTGTGGGGGATGCTCCAGGAGTATGGGGTGGGTGGCTTGCTGTTAAGGGCCATTCAGTCCCTTTACCAGAGGAGCGTGAGTTTGGTCCGCATAGCCGGTAGTAAGTCGGACCTGTTCCCAGTGAGGGTTGGACTCCGCCAGGGCTGCCCTTTGTCACCGGTTCTCTTCATCACTTTTATGGACAGAATTTCTAGACGCAGCCGTGGTGTGGAGTGTGTCGAGTTTGGTGGCAGGAGAATCTCGTCTCTGCTTTTTGCGGATGATGTGGTCCTCCTAGCTTCATCCAGCTCTGACCTTCAGCTCTTGCTGGGTAGGTTCGCGGCCGAATGTGAAGCGGCTGGGATGAGGATCAGCACCTCCAAATCTGAGACCATGGTTCTCGACCAGAAAAGGGTGGCTTGCCACCTCCGGGTCGGGGGAGAGGTCCTACCTCAAGTGGAGGAGTTTAAGTATCTCGGGGTCTTGTTCACGAGTGAGGGTAGGAGGGATCGGGAGATCGACAGGCGGATTGGTTCGGCGTCTGCAGTGATGCGGACGCTGAGCCGATCTGTCGTGGGGAAGAGGGAGCTGAGCCAGAAAGCCAGGCTCTCGATTTACCGGTCGATCTACGTCCCAATCCTCACATATGGTCATGAGCTTTGGGTAATGACCGAAAGAACGAGATCGCGGATACAAGCGGCCGAAATGAGTTTCCTCCGTAGGGTGGCTGGGCTCAGCCTTAGAGATAGGGTGAGGAGCTCGGACATTCGGGAGGGACTCGGAGTAGAACCGCTGCTCCTCCGGATCGAAAGGAGCCAGTTGAGGTGGTTTGGGCATCTGGTCAGGATGCCTCCTGGACGCCTCCCCGGGGAGGTGTTTCGGATATGTCCTGCCGGCGGAAGGCCCCCGGGTCGACCCAGGACACGTTGGAGAGGTTACATCTCCAATCTGGTCCGGGAACGCCTTGGGGTCCTGCCGGAGGAGCTGGTGGACAAGGCCGGGGAGAGGACGGCCTGGAGCTCCCTAATTGGGATGCTGCCCCCGCGACCCGGACCCGGATAAGCGGAGGAAGACGAAGACGAAGGAAGTCAAACACAAAGCAGTGTAAAACATCCAGAAACTTCCAAAATAATCGACACATGCAGTATAAAGTAGGCTTTACGTTTCCTCGGCTTTACGTTTCCTCTTCAGCTTTGGAAACTGATCAGAAGAGAAAAACAACTTGAGCCTTTCCAAGGCCGAAAGAAGGAATCAGTCCCCCTCCTTCTCAGAGGAAATTAGAATCCACATCAGTGTCTCTTTGCTCCTCCATAGAGTACGACAAACCGGCTCAGGGTCCTTCTGCATTTTAAAAGGCTGTGTGTGTGTGTGTGTGTGTGTGTGTGTGTGTGTGTGTGTGTGTGTGTGTGTGTGTGTGTGTGTGTGTGTGTGTGTGTGTGTGTGTGTGTGTGTGTGTGTGTGTAGGACTTGCGCATCCTGAGGAATAGGAAGGCCCTGGCCATCGCTCCCCAGTGGTACCAGTATCGACGGAAGTCACATGACCTGCTGGCCTGGTTGAACGACATCCAGCGTAGTGTGGACACACTCCCTGACCCCCCTGAAGGAGAGAGGGTCAAGGTGAAAGCAGTCACACAAACACACACTCTGAATATAAGACAACTTTTATTTATTGGTTTTTTGCATGGCGCCTGGCACCTGATCACCCCGCAGCATTTTCCTTTGCCGTTTGTTTTTGTTTTGCAGGTGCATTATATTCATGAAAAGCTGTTCTCTTCCTTTGTTTCTCTTCCTTATCCACCTCTCTAGCATCCACGCAATGAGGTGTCGATGCCTGGAGCTACTCTAGTCATAGGAGTAGATAAATGCTGCATGAAAACTTCACTGTATGTTTTAAATATTGCAGATGAGCTCAAGGCTGTTAGAAGAGTTTATCTGGTTTTTAATGACTTTGGAAGAGAAGCTTCTAGAAAGGCAAGAACCTGATGGACTTCTTCGGTTTTGTGGTTTAACTTATCAAACATTTAAGATGTTACCAGTGCATGGTGACTGTGTCCAGATAGATCCACATGTTAGTTAAGCAGGAAGTGCCCCTTTACAGCCCAGTATCTGTTCTCCTGGGGAGTTTCGGGGGTGGGGTGTGTGTGTGGGGGGGGGTGGGTGGGGGGGGTTGTGATTGGAGTCGTCTCCTTGAGCCACCGCCACCTCACGGTGTTGCTGTCCTGTTCAACATATGTCTCATTATGTGTTTAGCTAGTTAGCACCACAAATCAACGATAACTAACCATTTGGTGACTAGCTGTGGCTCACACCTGAGATGTTAAGTTTTGTAAGTTTAGTATATTTTATGATTTAATGACAACAGAACAGGCTGAGATGAGCGCCATCATCCTGTGATTCAGACTCATGTAAGGGTTGTAATCTGCTATATTAAATCCCTGGAGTCAGAAAGAGTTCATTTTTGGTCATCTGTTGATGTCAGAACAACACCTCCAGACTTACCATCAAACGGCCACACATCAGGTGTCAGGGCAAAAAGTAGGAACTTCAGACAAGATGGGCTTGGGAAAAAAACTAAAGTTAGCTTTCTATTCCAGATTAGGATTTAGCTTTTTGCTGAGGGAAGATTTATCTAATTTTTGACCATCTGGGCCAGTTTTAGTCAAATCTACTTTGGCTACAAGTTCTGATGGCTTTCCCCTGACTGCTTTATGTCCTTATAGCGTGTCTGGTTCTGTTGATTTTAAAGTCTAAGGATGTTTTCCTGAGGCATAGGGATGTCCTCCTTAGGTTCTCCTAGGGATTTCCTACTATGGATGTCTTACTAATTTAGTTCTAATAGGGGTGCTCTACTAAGGTAGTCTTACACAAAATTCCCTACTAAGTTACTCCTTAAAAAATAATAGGGATGTCCTACTAACGTAGGCCTACACAGGGTGTCCTAATAAGTTAGTCCTTCAAATTATGCCCTAGAACGTTTGTCTTTATAAGGGTGTCCTAAGTTTGCCCTAATAAGGATGTCTTACCAATGTAGTCCTACTAAAGATGTCCTACTAGGTTTGTCTTTCTAAGGATGTCTTAAGTTAGTCCTAATAGGGATGTCCAACTAAAGTGGACCTACAAAGATAGGCCTAAAAATGATGTTCCACTAAGTTAGACTTTCTAGGTGTGTCCTAAGGGATATCCTAAAAAGTCCACTCTACTAAGGATATCCTATCAGGGACACCTTGTGAGAAGCTAATGTTGAACCTCCACCTGACTGTATGTGTGTCTTTTATTTCCAGATGATCACTATGACATTTCGCTAAACAGAAGTGTCACCTGCTTGCCGTAGACTCACCTATCATTGCCACAGCAGAGATTTTCCTACCTGTCTGTCTGTCTGGCCATCTTTGTGTCTCTTCAGCCTGTTCATACAGCTTTCTGGTTCTTTACGAGCTTCAGACTCACTTTATTGACCAGAGATTGTACTTTGTATTTGTGTAAATAAAGTTGAAGGCTTGGTGTTCCTCTTAATTCCAGAAGCTTTTTACAGACATTCTGTCTGGATGAACACATGAAATTAATGTGCATGTTTCTGTTTGACACTGACAAACATGATATTTTGTCCCTTGAAAAATTGTGTTGTTGTTTTATTGTATATACATGGGACTTTTCTTTAAATTATGATTTATTTCACATCTGTATTGTCACTGTGTGTAAATGTGGTTTCCAGCACATCCATATGCCTCTGTGTGCTCTGCCCAGCTGGGCTCCCGGCCAATAGCAAGTGACTTTTTGGTTGATTTTGTCCAATAGGAAATTGGCTCTGAGTTCGACAAGAAGAAGGAGGAGCTTAAGGAGGTGCAGGGCTTAGCCAATCAGCTCTCAGAAGCTGGAGCCGCCAATCTAGTGGAGCCCCGCCAACTCCATCTCAACACGCGCTGGGTTGAGGTGGAGGGCAAGTTCATACCCTTCAAAAGACGATGTGTGAGTTTCAGTAGTTCATCTGTAATACTAACCAAAGTTCTCACAAACACTAAATACTAACTCATTAAGGTCCTAGCCTGTTTGAGGCTCTTTAGGAAAATTGAACACTTAGGTTTGTTTGCATGAAATTGGCTTCACAGTTTTTAAGCACTTTTTCTGATCAGGAATTCTTTTAATTTGATTATTATAATCCTGAATCACCTGAAATATTGCTCAGTTTGAAGATTAAATTTAGAATTTCCGAGTTGAATGTCATCAGTTGTAAACTACAATATTAGGCCCTTCTGAATAAAGTATTAAAGTTTAAGTCGATTACTCTTCTGTGAGTTTGGATCTCATTCGAGGTTCTGTTGTGCACCTTTTTTCAAATACATTTCAAAAATGTAGCATTAGCAAGTGGTGTTAGCTTGATTTGCTATTAAGGGCTAGCCTGGTCAATGAGCACTACGGTTAACAATAGTGTCAATTTCCTTTGTTTGCAACTCAAACCCTGTTACCCTGGGCTTGATAGAAATATGAATCTTTGTCATCTGAGCACAGGGTTCAAGCTTTTATATTCATATTGAGTCAAAAATCAAATAAATGTTTATTCATCAGCAGAAGACTGAAACTAGTCTAAGTTAATAGTGCTAGCTTGTTTGATTAGCTTCACGTGTTTCACATTTTGGTTGAGTGTGAGTTTGATTTAGTGATAAACTATACCTGATGTTAGAGTTTCCTTAATGTTAGAGCAGGATGATGTTAGCGCTCTTATGAAGTACAGCTACTGTACTTCTGGTAGTAACTATGTTTACTACAGTCTAACTCACTGGTTTCAAAACATGGTAATGAGTTAGCTTTTCACTTTTGGCTGCAAACGAGAACATTTTGTTTACAAACTACCTCAACTCTAAATAATGATGATATTATTATTATTATTATTATTATTATTATTATTATTATTATTATTATTGTTATAATGTAAAAGCTTTGTAGTTCAGCTCTTCTAAATCTGAGAACATGGTCTGGAGTCAGAAAAGGGTAGAATGCCTTCTCCAGGTCAGGGATGAGATCCTGCCTCAAGTGGAGGAGTTTAAGTATCTCAGGGTCTTGTTCACGAAAAGTTCATCATATCTATGAAATTAAATCTGTATGAAGAAAAATCTAAAACTCTGAACCAAATCTACTAATCTGTTTCTAGTGTAGAGTTGTTGTTTTAAATCAGAGAAAAAACCAAAAGTCAAATTGTTGTTTTTTGTTTTTCTTCATTTTTCTTTGCTGCATTTGATTCACATGTCTGATGTGTACATGTGAGGCATGCTCACATGTCTGGCTTTGTGCTCTGCATGCTGCCCCCTCCATCAACCAATCACATCTCTGGCAGTTCCCTGATCTCCCAATCACTGAGGAAGTATGTATCCTGTGGGCCAATCACATCCGACTGTCACACATAATAAACACTGTTGTGCAGCACTTGGACTGGTACCCATCTGACCCATCAGAGTTCAGTCCCGTTATTATATCCATGATGACCCACGGCCATGTCTGATAAATCTATGGAAGTTTCCAATCATTTATAAAACAACCAACACCTCTTCTAGGGTTATTATCAACTTCTTTGCAGTTTTGTCATTGCTGTACCACACAAACACACATCGTCCAAAAGACTGAATGATGATGTCAGAAGGTTCATGTGTCTGATGACATTTAGAGAATAGTGATCTATACCTGAGTAAAAGTAGTTGGTCTTTGTCACACTGGGTAATAAAAAAAAAAGCAAGATGGCCTTTAAAATCACTTTTACCTTCTTATTGGATGTGGGCAGCCTGTCAGTGCTGTCTCCGGCCTGCGTTCCAATAAAAACATTACATAATAATAGATATTGTAATGTTGCAATGGCCACAGAGAAACAGACAAACTTTCACACACCACTTTACATTTGCATGTCTCTATCCATTTCCACATCTGCAATAACTCAGCGCTGGTCATGGTCATGACAATCCTGGTCCCCAAGGGCATGCTCACATCCAGCATGCTGTTTCTGCTTCCAAACACCTGATTTCAATGAGCAGGTGGTTAGCTTCTACAGCACCTGCTGAGCAGGTAATTCAGCAGGGACACGTGTAAAACATGCTGGATAGTGAAGTTGCCCAGCCCTACTTTAACTAAAACCCCGTCTAGGACGTCTTCTGTACTTTAACGCTATTTAGTGTCAAACTTCAGTATGAACTCAAAGGTTTGGTGACGCCAACCTTTGCATGAACCTTAATGACCTCCAGCCCAGTGGTCTAGTGGGACGTGTTCTCACTGGGATGGGAGATTGTGGGTTAAAATTCACTATCAGGTCAGACTTAACCCAATGCCTCCCCGTTTGACATTCAGCATTAAGTGTTTGGATCGAAGGGCTAAACCACCGATTAGTTTCCCAGCGTGGCCGTGCTCACCGCTCCTCCAGGGATGGGTCAAACGCAGAAAGAGTGTGTGACAACTGTTTCATATGGGGTTGGTTATAGCAGGTCCAACTCTTCTACAGGGTCTTGGAGGACCCTTTTCACCATCCTTCCAAAAGTGCACTCGTGAGGTCAGGCTCTGATGTTAGACAAGGCCTGACTATCACTGTGTTGTTGAGTCAGAAGTCATGGTAGATCTAACCCAGTGTGAGCAAACTCCACAGTAATAGTATCAGAAACAACTCGTCCTTCATTTCACCTCAGTGACTAGTAACACAGCATAACTGGATGGTTTTAATGAGTTTGCTGCTGACACCAATGTGGGTTTGCATCACTTCTGATCCCTCACATTCCTGCTTCAGTGGACAAAGTCCCTTAAGATATGCAGCAGTCATCAACTTCCTGTGAGGAGCCTAATAATGCCATTATGAGTGTTCCATAGTGGGCTGATTAAAAAGTGACCTTTCATTAGAGAAGGAGCACTTGCCTCCAATGTGGGAATAACAATGAGGTGTAATGAAGACGGCCGAGTGTTTACATCCCAGAGTCTCTCCGCTGTGGCGACAGGCTTCATTTACTGTGCTGACTTAGAGCATTTCCTCTTTCTAATAGTGTAGCACTCGTGTAAATGAGGTCATTTGGAGCCTTAATAAATGATGATTGTGACATGCGAAAGGGACTAATGAAGCATTTGAGTCTAACTAAGGCTTCAGACCGAAGAACTAAAAATAAGCTCCTCAGAAAATGTTGTGTGTGATGTAACATGTTTCTTCCTGGAGTCATAGCATTTCTCTCTCTCTCTCTCTCTCTCTCTCTCTCTCTCTGTGTGTGTGTGTGTGTGTGTGTGTGTGTGTGTGTGTGTGCGTGTGCGTGCGTGCGTGCGCGCGTAACCAGGAGTACCTAACGGAGCTCCAGGCCTTGCTGCGGTCGGTGTCAGAGACGGACTTCAAGCTGAACTCTCCTGAGTTCTGGCCTGCAGCGTTTTATAACCTGCCCCAGCAGGATCACTGCCTGAAGGTCAGCACCGCCTTAGAAGGAACATTTCTCTGGAAATGGACTGAAAAGCTGTAGAGTTTTATCTTTAGAGATACTCTGATGTGTGTGTGTGATGTTTTCTTGTTAGAGTTAGGAATTGTGTTCTCTTGCTGACAGTTGTCGCCCCTCTAGTTGTGATCACACAGCAGGGGCCTCATTTATCAAGCTTGCTTATGCACAAAACGGGGTCTGAAAACTGCATAAGCAACTTTTCACGCAAACTTTGGGATTTATGAAAGAAAACTTAGCGAAAAATGTGTGCAACTTTAAGTTGACTAAGGACCTGGCTTACACACATTTTGGACATGGAGAGCACCTGCAGTGCTGCTGCTGAGAAGGATACAATTATGAAATCCTGCAGCATTATCACTTGTACTGCTTCGTTTTCACACAGAACAAGGCCACACACACGTGCGCACACACAGCCTGAAGTGCAGAACATGGAATGCAGAATATCAGCAGGGGGACAGATGGAGACAGAATGTCATGCGTCTGTGACAGTGTGTGTGTCCTGTCACTGTGACCCGATTGATCATGCTCCCTGGCTACATGTACCTGGGAGATCTCTGTTTGGGTGACTGGTTAGCACGCGTGACTTTCACCCGGGGGTCTGGGGATCGAATGCTGATTGGACCATTTTTTTACATCCGCCACAGATCTCTCTGAAGAATTCACAACATTGACGGCTTCAGCAACTCTGTGCCACTCCGTGGATTTTCTCTTATTTGTTTAGCAAAAGCACTTCCTTTCATTTCTCCACCTCACCCACAAGTACCTCAACTTCTGCTTCTGTGAAATTGCACTTCCCTGAGCTGCCTTGATCTACGGTCGCCATGTCATTGGCGGAGCGCCGCAACAACCGGCTTATGTATATGCATGAGATCCACAAGGCACTTTGCATTGACTATTTATGGCAGTAAGTGGGCGTGGTGAGGGAGGGGTGTGACTAAAATGCGTCTGAGAAACATTCTCGTTAGTCTCCGATTTATGAAGTGGAGATTGCGTGCAGCTGTGCGTACTCCATGTTTGATAGATCACAAACCTTCCTGGCGTGAGTACATTATTTTTGCTGAGCTTAAGTACGGTTTTGGTAAAGATTCTATGCAATGTGTGATAAATGAGACCCCAGCTTCGTTACGTAACACGTGATCCAGACTAGAAGAGTGGCTGAAGTTATGAAGAATGGTTCTATCAGGATCTTCTCCACTCATCTAAGACCTGAGGGACATTTACAATTTTAAAATCATTTATGAAAACTTTAACACATTACATTTTCATTTTTTAAACTAATAATGATTCAAGACCAATAATTTATTGCTGTGGTTCATTATGGACTTGGATAATTAGGGTTTTTTATAGCATAAATGATCATCAGAGCCTGCTAGCTGAAATAACTATTGAACAGAATCACCTTCCCATGGGCTCACCACTTGTGGGAGGGGCCAAGTGGATGCAGTGTGAGAAGAGTGGTAGCCCAAGGGTACCCCCACCTACCCAACACTGGAGAGCACCCAGACTGCTGCCAGCTTTTCAAAATTTTTGCTTCAAAATGAAAAATTGGATATCGATCGGAAATTGTTTAGATTGTTAAAATCTAAATTGCACTTCTTCAACAGGACCCCCTCTCATCAATCTTGATGCCTGTATAGGGTCTGGTAGGGCAGCAGCAGCTCAGGAGGTAGAGCGAGTTGTCAATTCGGGGGTTGTAGGATCGACCCCAACATACAGAAGAGATTTCTGCTGTCGTGTCCTTGGGGTGCAGTGGTTAGAGCTGTTGCCTTGCAGCAAGAAGGTCCTGGGTTCGCTTCCCGGCCTGGGGTCTTTCTGCATGGAGTTTGCATGTTCTCCCTGTGCATGCGTGGGTTCTCTCCGGGTACTCCAGCTTCCTCCCACAGTCCAAAAACATGACTGTTAGGTTGATTGGTCCGTCTAAATTGTCCTTGGGGGTGAGTGTGTGTGTGTGATTGTTCGTCCTGTGTGTCTCTGTGTTGCCCTGCGATGGACTGGCCCTCTGTCCAGGGTGTACCCCGCCTGATTGCCCATTGACCGCTGGAGATAGGCACCAGCCCCCCCGCGACCCTACATGGACAAGCGGGGTCAGACAATGGATGGATGGATGGGTGTCCTTGGGCAATACACTTAACCCACCTGGTGGGGGTCAGAGGGACCTGTGGCAACTGTGCATTTTTATAAATCTATAAGCTGCTGTTCTAAACCAGGGCCTGCAACCTTTACAATCCATGGAGCCAGTTTTTATTTATTCAATGAAAAGAAATCCTACTAAACCTAAAAAGTTTGTTAAAAAGAATAAAAACAGAAATGAGTCCATATTTTTAGGTTAAGGTACTGAGACTCATTGAAGTTATATCTAGCCATTGATGGTTCTATTTGTTATTATGTAAACACAGTATTGTAGCAATAAAAATGTTTAACATGTAAAAATCACTGATGAAGGGCATTTTGTTTTCATGTTGAACTTATTGAGTCATGAAAAACAGAGGACCCTTCACTGAGAAAGAAGGAAAAATAAGTGATGTTTAGAAGCCAGATGTGGGCTTTTAAATCCTTTGTAACGTGTTTGAAACCGCATCGTGGCTTGTATCACAGGCTCTGGAGCTGGTGGGAGCTGGGTTGTTGCAGGGCAGCCCCTCCCTCACCACATACATGACTTTAAAAACAAAACAACATGCAGACACCCACAAACATAGAGATTCACATAAACACAGCTTAGACCTGCAAACACAAGTAACCATACAAACACACACAAACATATTCTACAAAAGGCAGAAGTGATAGAAGATTTTCCCGTGTCGCTAATCAAATCGGCCCCAGTGCCGGGATACACATCCCTACTGGGAACGGGGCCCAGGCTGGGAGAGGGAAGTCTGGGCCTCTCTGTTTAGACCGCTGCTCCTGCTGCTGACCCCAAATAAGTGGAGGATAATGGATGGTTGGATAGACCATGATGGTGCCACCACCATGCTTTCCTCAGGCTGATATTGTTTGTTGAGCATTGTTGAACTTCTTCATATGTTTCAGATTTATACATTCTTCTGGTCCATGAGTGCTTCTTTCATCTGTAGAAGTTTTCTGTTAAACCTTCTCACACAAACATACTTCAGTCACTTCCTCTTCCTCGTACACAGGAGGTCAAGGGCAACATTGACAAACTGGAGCGCCCAGTGGAAGGAGCATTGGCCCACAGAGAGGAGAAGATGTTGGGTGCTCAGCCTTTGGAAGGCCAGAGGATCCAGGAGGCCTCCTCTCTCCTCAGTACCAACTGGGACAAGCTGAACAAGCTCTACAGGGACAGAGTCAGGTGAGCGGAGCATCAGTGTGTGAGAGCATAGTGTGCAATAAGCAAGTATAATTCACCGTGTGTGTGTGTGTGTGTGTGTGTGTGTGTGTGTGTGTGTGTGTGTGTGTGTGTGTGTGTGTGTGTGTGTGTGTGTGTGTGTGTGTGTGTGTGTGCATGTGCGTGTGTGCGCGCATGTGCGTGTGTGAAGGCGTTGGCAGGATTGCAGCTCCAAGTGGCAGAAGTTTGTTTCAGAGCAGCAGGCTCTGGAGGAGTGGCTGGATGATGCTGAGGGCTCTTTGAAGCAGGCTGAGAAGGAGCCAGCAGCACACAGACAACATCTCAGGGTAAACATCAGCATTATAAAAGCAACAAAGACCAAAAACAAACACTTACATTGAGCCGCTGCTGTGTAACATCTTTTTTCATCTGTCAGAAGCACGGACGTCACTATGAGCTTTCACCGTTTGTCCCACCATGACGCAAACCAGAGGGAATGGGAATTATTACAAGTTCATTGGGAGATTGATGTGATCCAACACTACTCTGTCCCAGCTTTCTTCTCACACCAAACCCTCATTCAGGAATCTTGGTGTGACCTTTGACCCCGCTCTCACCCTGGATTCTCATGTCATTTCTCTTGTTCGCTCTTCCTTCTTCCATCTCAGGAACATTGCTAAGCTGAGTCCCATTCTGTCTCGCTCTGAACTTGAGACAGTTCTCCACACCTTCATCTCCTCACACTTAGACTACTGTAACTCTCCTTTCACGTGTCTGAGCAGAACCTCCCTGAACCGTCTACAGGTGGTTCATCCCTTTCTTCCACACTAGCTCTTCTTCATGATGCTTTTGTTATTGTTCTTATGGAGTACCTTCTGATTTTTATCTGGAAAGACTCGATTCAAATAAACCCTTCTTCTTCTTCTTCTTCTTCTTCTTCTTCTTCTTCTTCTTCTTCTTCTTCTTCTTCTTCTTCTTCTTCTTCTTCTTCTTCTTCTTCTTCTTCTTCTTCTTCTTCTTCTTCTTCTTCTTCTTCTTCTTCTTCTTCTTCTTCTTCTTCTTCTTCTTCTTCTTCTTCTTCTTCTTCTTCTTCTCCTCCTCCTCCTCCTCCTCTAGGGTTAGGGCTAGTTTTGGGGGCTGTTCTTTACTCTGGGTTAGGGTTAGGTTTACTAATGACTACCTAAGTTGAAATAGAGGAGAACCCTGATGTGATGTAAGAAAATCAGACAGCTTTTGGATGCTCTCCACAGGATCTTTGACAACCTGGGAAGATGTGTTGATTTGTTGCCATGGTAACTACTTATTGCGGGCTAGGTGTTGTGACAGAAGTTTGCACATGCTGGCATACCCTGGTTGTTCTTGCAGCTACAAGTAGGACCTCAGTGGGATCCGTTTCCTGTCTGCTGAGGGTTCTGTGGTTTCTTGGAAAAGATTCCAAGAAAAAAACCTTTTGATGGATACAAAGATCGCATCAGCTTCACTCAGTGGATTCTTTTTGTGGTCCTGGGTTAATGCATGTTAGACCCAACATAGAAGTAATATTCTCTGGGCTTGCTGTTGGTTTCTGTCTTAAATCAGCAGCAAACTCATGCTGACCTGCTGCAGATTTCAAAGGCAGCAAGCATCTGGCACGACATTCAGCTTCATAAAAACTCTGCCTTTCTCATTTTTAGGCCTTATGTAACATTTTATATCAGCAAATTTGATCTTTAGTGTTACATCAATGTAAAAAGTGACATTTAATGATCAACTAAAGGAGAGTAACTAGACTAGAGCCAAGGTTGGATCACAGTTGCTGTTATAATGATTAAAGTGATGCAATAACTTAAGTATATTTGCTTCATATAACACTTACTGTCCATATGTACATAGCGCTGCAGAACTGTCCCCCCCCCCCCCAAGTATGTTTGTTTTACACTGAGTACGAGATGCTCTGTATCTCACTTTACACCTGTATAGTGACAATAAAGGCATTCTATTCTATTAGTCCTCCTGCTGGCTTTAGGATCTATGTGAGAGATGGAGAATCTAGCCTCTTTGGATTCTACAACCCCCCAACGCGCTTCACAACACAATCCGTCATCCACACATTCACACGCTGGTGGGGATGAGCTACGCTGGAGCCACAGCAGCCCTGGGGCTCACTGTTCCCTTCATCCTGTATTAACTTTTACTTACATTCTGAGTTACCATGGTGATATGTTTAGCACCAAATTTAGCATTACTGCGTCAACCCACATTAACATAGAAACATTCAAATTTTGAAAGGGCCGTAGCACATCGAACACCACTATGGCCTGTGTTTGACCGCCCAAGGTGCTTTACAACACAGTCAGTCAGTCATTCACACCCTGGTGACGGGGAGCTATGATGCAGCCATGGCTGCCCTGGGCCACACTGACACAGGTGAGTCTGCCGTACACAGGCGCCTCCGGTCCCTCCGACCGCCACCAGCGGGCAAGATGGGTTAAGTGTCTTGCCCAAGGACACAACAGCAGCAACAGACTTGAGCAGGGCTCAAACCTGCAACTTTCCGATTTATGGGCGAGCACTAAACTCCTGTGCCACCATCGCCCAAGATATATACTATGGTGAGGCAGATTCTTGAGGTCTGTTACCATAGCAACACGAGTTACTAATACACAAGCCAAACAAGCCTCCGTGGAGTAACAAGCCTAAACTTAAGCCAATAACTTACCGCTGTTTTCATACCATGCCTAGTTTATTTATATTACGCGTGTTAAGGAAAGGCATGTCAGCTGACCGAAGAGCTGCACAGAGATCAGCATCAAACATAAAAACACAACATTTCTGGGATTTGTGTGTCACTACACCTTTTCATATCTTTCACAGCTTTGTTAGAACATATAGTTTTACCATAAATGCACCTGCAGTTTGTCCGTGAAGCACTGCTATAGCAAATCTGCAAAACAAGCTAGCTTTTAGATATAACACGGTCATGGAACACTCACCCCTCCCCTCTGGTATCTCCCCTGGATCCACTGGAACGGGAAACCCACGATGCCGGAGGAAACGAGAAAACTCTAAACACCCGTCACTGTTTTCTAGGTCCAAAAGTCAGTTGCTGTCCTTCAGATGGTGATTTTCTTTTTGGGGACTCTGGTAGTTTGTCCTAAAGCGGAAGTGGTAGCAGTCGGCTGTTTCTCCTTCTCTGATGTTACTGAGTGGAGAACCTCTCACACCTGTGGTGTTCTGGTGCTGAATACGGGAGTGTGTGATGAGTGGAGGGCCCCGGGAAGTGCGGCGGTTCGGTGAGACAGACACCCGGATGGTCCGATGGTTGGTTGTGGTCTGAAACGTGTTGTTGGTGGAGGATTTTAGACAAATGTGAGAGAACCACTAAATCTGTATCTTATTTTCTTACCTCTGCAATATATTTATGTTAGAGCGTTGTTAAGAGGCATGAAACATTTTGTTTTCCAGATTTGCTGTTGAAGCTTTAAGGTGATGTGGAAGTGTGACGTCTCTAGGCTCTAGCTGAGCTCCATCAGTAGACTACGTATGTGTTTAATCTGTAGATTAAACATATTAAACGCATACGTTAAAGAGTTTAATTCCATCCAGGATCTGAAGGGAGCTTGTGGAGAATCTGCCCTTTGAATTCTAACCAGAACATTTTTCATGAGCTTTTCTAAGACATAACGAGGGGCCGCATCAGTAACAGAAGCAGGATTTAGCTTTTCTGCATCATGTTAGCATAAAATCTGAATTTTGACAGTGCGGTGAGGATGAAAGTGGTTAGTCCTGTAGACCTGTCATATCCGAGTTTGGGTTACAAATAACCCTTCATATTCCCTCTGGTATTTATCATCTGTATGTAAGTGAGCTGCCTCTCTTTGTGCGTATGTGCAGGACCTGGTGGAGGCCATTCCACTACAGGAAGTGGTGTTGGGGAGACTGAACTCTGCAGGAGAGGACATCAGCCAGATGAGCACACCAGATGATGCCCTGCGCCTCAGATCGCATCTTAAATTATTAAACACTCGCTGGGCCAATGCCTGCCAACAGCTCCAGGAGCGCAAGAGGAGGTGTGTGTGTGCATGTGTGTGTCTGCAGCTCCCATTCAAACTCATTAAAACTTAGCTGATTAACTTTTAAATAGATGCACTGAAGCTCACAGTCAGCAGTTCCACACGTTTAGGCAGCATTGTTTGTCTGTGTCTGGGACTCAGAGGTGTTCCCTTCACTTGCAGGTCTGCCGAGGCCCGAACAGCAGCTGCACAGCTGGAGGAGGACATGGGCTCCATGCTGGGCTGGTTGGACAAAGCAGAGGGAGTCCTGGCCATCCCTCTGCAGCCTCCAGAGCCACAGCACATCAGAAACACTCTGAGCAATGTCCAGGTACCACATCACAGCCTCCCCGTCTTGTTTCTGTGTAACACCAGAGGACCAGAGACATAAAGCTGGGATCGCAGAGAAACCCCTAAAACGGGCTGGATCCCAGCCCTCCAGGCCCTGATTTGAATAGCCCTGCTGTAGTGTCTCCTACAGTCGGGTATAAACTTTATTATTTATTTGTCAGGCATGTGTGGAGGAGCTCCCTGCTAAGAAGGCAACAGTTGAAGACCTGAATGTGACGCAGAAACGGATAACTCTTCCTTCAGACAAACAGAAAGACATCAGGAGCATCAACACCCGCTGGTCTCAGGTCAATTCTTATCACCAACACAGCCCGGGCTTTTAGTGTTAATGGGTCGTCCGGTGGGACAAGACTAGAATAAAAGGTCCACCTTTGTGATGAGGTTAGAGTTTCTATTGGCCCACACCAGAGGTCCAGACGAAGCAGCTTCAAGGAGCAGGCGAGAGACGTGGTCGAGGACAGGCGTAGGTCATGGAGGCAGGCAGAGCTCTTGGCAAGGGTCAGGCGTGAAACGAGGTCAGTAGAGGATGATCAGGCAGGATGAAAAGGCTGGAAGATCTACTAGCAGGTGCGTTCAATAATCTGGCACAGGGCTGGTGGTAGACTGTAGAATGCATAGCTTGATGAGGAGACCAGGTGTGATGCATGAAGGCTGATGAGGTGGATGGTGGTAGCATGGAGGTCAGGACATGGTAGGATCACGACACTGAAGGTGGAAATCTGTAGAAAAGCAAGCTCTCCTTTGATGACGAGTCATATTATGGTCTGTATTTAACACTCACACTGATCCTTTGTTAGGATGGAAGCAACTTTTGTCGTTTCACAGCCAGATACTAGAAATGATCTGATGATAGTTGAGCACTATATTCTTTAAAGATGATGTGAATCAGAAGCTGTTGATTGAGACCCAAAGCAAGCAGAGAAGACCGGCCTACACCCTACTGAACACTTCAGTAACCCCAACCCTAACTCTGGGATACAAACTTAAACTACAGAACAAGTTCTACCCAAGCAGTACTCATGTCAGCTGTTTGTGCTTCAGGTGTCCAGGGCTCTGCCCGAGCGTCAGCTGGAGATTGAAGGTCTGCTCAGGGAGCTTATGAAGCTCCAGGGTCAGATGGAAGGCCTTTCTGTCTGGGCGTCAAACACCAGAGCAAAGCTGGAGAACAGTCCAGAGGAGCCACCGGCCAGAGTAAGGCACACGGTTGTGTTAGTATGACGTTGGGTAACCATACAGGGCTTGTGATCATGTCGTCATCACAGCGTGGCTGCCATGTTGGTGGCCTCGTTACTTGTTTCCTGGTACTTCAGACAACAGCGCGCTCAGTTCTGCAGCTTCATTTACACCTTTTCTGGATTGCTTAAACACTATAATCACTCTTTTGAACTAAAAACTGTAATGATGTCTTTTAAAAAGCACACTCGTTTCCCTGAGCCATACACGCCATCCCCCGCTGTAACACGAGTCCGCTTTGGTGAACTGTTACTGCAAAACTCTACACACAAATCCTTACACGTTTCAGTGCTGACACCATAAGGTCATGTAGAAAACTAGCAGTCAATCATGTTAGCTGGTGTCAGCACAGCGTGAGCTCAACTAGCACATAATTAACCAACTGGAAACACCACGAGTCACAATTTACCCGAACCGATCAGAAACATCGATCATAGACAAAAGAGCCAAGGTCAGATCATGCAGGTTGGAAAGGATGGATCCAAAGAGATGCAAAGGAGGAGGTGGAGGTCTGCGACAGCGAGGTGGAGGAAGTGGAAGAGGAGGAGGAGGAGGAGGAGAGGGAAGTCTAGGACACCAACTCAGAGGAGCAGAAGGAGGTCTAGGACACCAGGGTGGAAGAGGAGGAGGAGAAGGAGGTCTAGGACACCAGGGTGGAAGAGGAGGAGAAGAAGGAGGTCTAGGACACCAGGGTGGAAGAGGAGGAGAAGAAGGAGGTCTAGGACACCAGGGTGGAAGAGGAGGAGAAGAAGGAGGTCTAGGACACCAGGGTGGAAGAGGAGGAGAAGAAGGAGGTCTAGGACACCAGGGTGGAAGAGGAGGAGAAGAAGGAGGTCTAGGACACCAGAAAGGAGGGGGTGGGGGAGGAGGAGGTCTAGGACACCAGGATGGAAGAGGGTCAAGAGGAAAAGGTGGAGGAGAGAGAGGAGAAGGAGGTCTGTGACACCAGGGAGGAGGAGGAGGAGGAGAAGGTCTAGAACACCAGGGTGGAGGAGGAAGAGGTGGAGGTCTATGACACCAGGGTCATGGAGGCAGGCAGAAACTTTCATTCAGTACAACATTTAATTACAACAACCCAATGAGACAGAGCCCAAATTTGTATTCTGAATAGTTTAAACATGTTTTAAGGGAAACGTGTGACGTGTCAAAAAGCGGCACCTGCTGAGACCCTGTAGGCCCGCCCACAACGCCGCGGCTGCTGTGGCTCCCAGTGTTTTCTTTACTTTGGGAAACGGGTCATTTTGGCTCTTTGATTGGAAAAGGCTGCCGACCCCTGTTCTATGGCATAACAATGTCCTAGTTTTACTTTGTTTATGTATTGGCATACGCTTTTGTCCAAAGCCTTACAGGTGATAATCAAGCCGTCAGGATGCCCTTGAAGCTAACAACAAACACTAGAGAACAACAGCAAATGAACCATAACCCTCTCATCCGGATGTTTGCGTTCGCTCACACCACAAACACAGCTGAAAATGTCCGGGTCGTCCACATGGAGCCAAACCCGTTATAATGCTGATCTTGTCCGCCAACCGGCTCCTGGTTTCCCTATTTAACTTTTCCTTTTTGGGATTTTAACAAGTTGTTTAACACTTTATCTCCCAAATCTGCTTCTTCTCTGTGATGTACTGTTTGTTACATTCATAAGGCCATAAACATGTCTGCCACGTCCCAGAATGCAACACGTGATCCCGAGCCCCATTGAATCTTTATGGAACAAACATTGAAACACTAAATATCCGTTTACTGCTTTTTGATGCAACAGCTTATAGATGAAGTTCAAGCCAAGAAGCCTGAGGTGGAGTTTGTTTTGGAGAGAGCCGGTCAGCTGTTCAAGGAGAGCCCTGCTGGCCAAGCAGACAAGGTGAAGGTTCAAAACTCGGTTTTCTACTCAGCTGAACCTGATGCCACATACAAGTTTGTGTTTAGGGTCCAAAATGAGACCTTCAGTTTATTCAGTGTTGTGTTTAAGATAACCGTGTGTGTGTGCGTGCGCGTGCGTGCGTGTGTGCGTGTGTGTGTGTGTGTGTGTGTGCGTGCGTGCGTGCGTGCGTGCGTGCGTGTGTGTGTGTGTGTGTGTGTGTGTGTGTGTGTGTGTGTGTGTGTGTGTGTGTGTGTGTGTGTGTGTGTGTGTGTGTGTGTGTGCGCAGCTGACACTCATGAGGCTGAGGGATGACTGGACACGGATCCTGGAGCTGCTCCAGCAACATAAGGAGAGGATGGCTGCTCTGCTTACTGCTAAAAAAGCCCGTAAGTCCACCTATTGGTTGATTTATTAGTTACTGCATGTGTGTAGAAGAGTTGTGTGTTCAGACTGGACTAACACCTAGTTGCTTTGAAGTACCAGATACTAGCACTGATGGTCCGAGCACACATTCATCTCTAGGATTAGTACTTTTAGAGAAGGAGCGGTTCATGGGTGTTTCCTGTACTGTTTGGTGTGGGACAGAGGCGTAGAGCTTCCACATGGACATGCACAGCCTACCTGGTCTGCATAGGCTGGTACCGGTACCAGACACCAGGTCCTTGTGGCGCTTTCACATCTGGGCCAGCACAAACCACACTGGGTGGCGTAGGTCCGGTCCCACACCAGAAGGATTTGTTCACACCCATTTCTCAGGAACGGGGTCATCTCCAAGCATGTGGGCACGGCAAAAAACGTGTGTGTGTGTGTGTGTGTGTGTGTGTGTGTGTGTGTGTGTGTGTGTGTGTGTGTGTGTGTGTGTGTGTGTGTGTGTGTGTGTGTGTGTGTGTGTGTGTGTGTGTGTGTGTGTGTGTGTGTGTGTGTGTGTGTTGTCAAACGGAATAATCCTTGTAAGGACATAGTTGCCCAGGATATCGGCCTGCCAGACTGCATCCACAGACTTTTTGTTGCCTCACTGTTTGAGTCATACACTCCTGCTAAAACCAACAGGCCTGCCTAGGCTTGGAGGTCTACCAGCTTGATTTCTCTCCTGCTGTCCCCAAACACACTCAATTAGAATCAGTGGAGTTTATTTGGGGGATGTGGATGCTGGCGCTAACTGGGGTGTGTGTTACAAATCAGTGTATTGTCAGGACTGTTATGAGAGGCGTAAAACGGTGGTGTGTGCAATACGTTTCAACTTTCATCTTTCCCTTTGTGGTTTCTGTCTACTGTTATTTTACCATAATGTGGTCACTGTTCGTGCCGTCTACTCTGTCTTTGCGAGTTTTTGTTAACCTGTGTGTAGCGCCAACCTGCCAGGGGGTCTGCAGATGGGAAATGACCCAGAAGCTACCATCTGGCATGTTTACATATGTGAAAATGTTCATTACCCTTTTAAAATAATATCAATATGTTCAAGTGTAGGATGAGGATATCATAAGGGCTTCAGACCATCAGCTGTAAAACACAATTGTTATGAGTTTTTAAGTTGGAAATCGGTCAGATTTGACCCGAACACGACAGGAAGGTTAAAGAAGAAATGAAATAACAGAAGAAAATTAAAGGGTGACACATAAACTAGCTGCAGGTGAATGGAGATCTGCACCATGACTGAGAGATGGAGTTGGCTCTGCTGCTATAAATGTCAAGCAGTCTCTCATTGTTAGCATGAGGGTTAGGGTTAGGTCCCCTGGGCAACCCAGAATCTCCACTGGCAGCCCACTGGGCAAATGCCTGCCCTGCCCGATAGCAGGTACAGCCCTGCAAATTGCGCCATTAGTTGACCAGGAAAACCGACGTTAAGAGCGATTTGGTACATTCCACACCCAGATTACTCCACCAATGTTTTAACTTCATCTGAACACTTTAGCATTTCTAAAACTTCTAACTTTCTCCTTTGAATTCCAGATGAAAATCTGGCTGGAAGTTTGCAGCCTGAGTCTGCAGCAGTGGCTCAGTTCAACAAATCCTGGGCTGAGCTCACTGACTGGCTGACCATGCTGGACAACATGGTGCAAAACAAGAAGGTGGTGGTGGCTGACCTGGATGATATCAACGAAAACATAATCCAGCTCAAGGTTTGGACCTCACAGCACACCGTCATCAGCAACGACAAAAACCCTAAAGGCTCTGTAGGCATTTGTGAAAACAGCTGTTTGGTTTTCCAGGCATCCCTGCAGGAGCTTGACCAGCGCCGCCCCCTGCTGGAAAAACAAGTCACAGCAGCTCAAAATCTTAAAAACAAAACCAGCAACCAGGAGACCCGCAACGCCATAACTGAACGCAGTGAGAGAACAAGTTAACCCAAAAAAACGGCATATGCATCACTTGAGAGCTGATCTAAATGTTCACTGGTGAAGCATGACCTCTAAAAACATTCTGGGACAAATATATCTGAGTTTTTCTCTCATAGTGATTATCCTTTAAAGCTGCTATAGCAAATGTGGAAACACGTTAGATTAAAGCATTGCCTCCTAACGGTCTAACATTGTATAGCTATATATTGTGGAGATTTAAAAAATTAATAAAGTAGGTATCTTGCATTCATCAAAATACGTTTCAGACCGAAGCAACTATCGGACCCTCCGGTTGTTGGTCTCACTAAACCACCCCACCTTCCTGAGTCCTCCACTCATCACACACTCCCGTATTCAGCACCAGAACACCACAGGTGTGAGAGGTTCTCCGCTCAGTAACATCAGAGAAGGAGAAACAGCCGGCTGCTACCACTTCAGCTTTAGGACAAACTACCAGAGTCCCAAAAAGAAAATCACCATTTGAAGTCATGGACCAAGACGTTTGGGCCTAGAAACTGGACTGGTGTTTAGCGCTAGCTCGTTTCCTCTGGTAATGCGGGTTGCTGGTTGCAGGGGAGATACCCGAGAGGAGGGCTGAGTGACCATATTTTAGCTCAAAACCTAGCGTGTCCTGCAGATTTGCTATAACAGCTTTAAGAATACAATCTTGTTTTGATTCATGTGATTTTAGCTAAGCTTTAACTAGCGGAAGCTAGCACGAGTTAGCTTAAACGTTGTTTTGACTAGAAGTTTTCCAACTCCTGAGTAATCAATCATTAGCAAAAGAGCAAAGAACAAAGTCTTTTCTTGGCTCAATAAACTTTAGTCAAAATAAACCAACAACTAAGTTAACTGAGTTAACCACGGCAGTTCAGTGGACTTCTCTTTTCTGTTCTGTGCAGTGGACAGGCTCCAGGCTCACTGGGAAGACTCTCAGACCAAACTGTCTGATCGGCTGAAGCAGATTCTCAACATGCTGCAGGACTCCACCAACTGGCTGGATGCCAAGAGAGAGGTGGACCGCCTCATCAGACAGGCCAGTGAAAGGCTTGAGTCTTGGCAGGAGATCACGTACACAGCAGACATGCTGAAGAGGCAGGATGCCGATCTGAGGGTGGGCTGCTCATCTGTTCAGTGAATGCATAGATATCAGAACACTTTCTGTTCTGTTGGGACAAAGACGACCTTTATGACCAGGTCGTCAAATACAACCCAAATGTTTCCTGTTTGCACAAGCGGTTGGTGTTTTTAACAACTCAAGCATCCTTCGGTTTAGATGGGTTAGGGTTAAACCCGGTTTAGATGGTTTACCTCTGTACGATAAATGCACTCATCCTAACACGTGTCAGTTAGCGGTTAGCGCCACATCACAAACAAGCGTGCTCATATAGTGTTTAGCATCTACATGTGGTGTTTTCCATCATGCATGAGGTGAATGAACAAACTGTGATCTGTAGATCAGATCTTTTCATGTCCAGGAAGGAGCTGGGATCTGCAGCGACTGCGGTCGTCCCTCTGACCCAGATCTCAGAACCTCCGCCTGCTGTTACCAGAAAGTTCTCCGGCCTAATAGGGAACCCACAAACACACCTAGTGTATTGTAACAGCTCGCCTACAAGAGGACATGAGTGTGCGATGTAGTTTCAGCTTTCTAGAACTGAATCAACCAGATGGTTCTGACTCGGTTCTAACTGGATCGATGAGCTAACAGTTAGTCACAGCAGGTCCCTAAGGGGGGTTATGGTAAATGAGCTTCAGTCTCAAAAAGGCCATGGGGAAAGGGTTTAGGGTTGTATTTTTTATTTAAGCTAGTGTTTACATAGAGTTCAATGGCCATTTGCTTCAGAAAGGATTAAACATTGAAGC